CAATACGGGTAAAAGTTTGTGACTGAAGGAATATGGGTTTTTAAAAAAGGGTGGTACGTGGACCGACTATAACAGTATAAAGCTTTCGTTACAGGTGCTTGCTTTCTAAAGCAGCGCGTTCTTAACCTGGAGATCGCTGCCCTCATGTAGATCGTTTGGGTTTTTTTTCGGGCGGTCATGAAGGGTCACTAAATGAAACAAATTCCAATTTAAATATATAATTATCAGTGTTCTACCAAAAAATTTTCCTCCACCTTCAGTGACTCATAAATCTTGGTTCCCACAGCCTAAATTTAAAGCACCTAATGCCCGAATTTTTTGATTTGATCGCCTGGTGGCTGTAAAGCAATTTCAGCCATCCCATTGACTGAGTATTGGCAGACATGTTTTCATAAATCGGGCTGGCGTTTTTTTCAATTTTGATCTTCGGGGGTCACGGTAGGGCCTTTACGACCAAGAATGTCTGATGGCGGATCGTGGGGCCAAAAAGTTAAGAAACACTTGCTCTAAGGGTAATGTAGGTACCGTGTGACAGAATCTGCTACAGGTTATTGTATCAGGAATATATATAAGTGTATGTATTGTATAATGTACTGTATATGTATGTATGTATGTATGTATGTATGTATGTATGTTTATGTATGTATGTATGTATGTATGTCACTGTAATGTATAGTATGTATGTATGTATGTATGTATGTATGTATGTTTTTTTTATGTATGTATGTAATGTAATTGTATGTTATGTACCTTGTATGTATGCTATGTATGTATGTATGATATGTTGTATAGTATGGTATGTGATGCTATGTATTGTTATGTACTGTATGCTATGTATGTATGTATGTATGTATGTATGTATTGATGTATGTATGTTTGCTTATGTATGTATAGTATGTATGATATGGGGGTTTATGGTAAATTTTGTTTTCTGTATGTATGTTATGTATGTATGTATGTATGTATGTATGTATTTGTATGCATGCATTGGCATGCATGCATGCATCGCATTGCATTATGTATGGTTGTATGTATTGACTGGGAACTTTTAGCATCAGGTATTTCCCTGAAAAAAAAGAAAAAAATAACAAGAAAAGAAAAATATTCCGTATCCCTTAGGATTTGTGGTGCAATGGACCTAGCTTCCCAAAAGCCACCCATCAATGCTGATGATTTTGCCAACGGGAGGCGCAAGCTTAAAAGGTTGAATTTATTTTCTAATTTTTTTTAAAATCTTACTCTAAAAACTTGCCCCTGATGACATTCAGGCACTGCTAAGCGGGCACACAACAGTCTTAAAGTCATTTAGACTCTTCACGTTGTGAGAAAACTTAGCACGCAGTTCTGCTGATAGAGTTGTAACGCTATCTCCAATGATAAGTCGATAACCGTGAATCGAAGCATATGAAATAGTATGACATGCCACCTTTTAACCTGTAGTTTTACATATTCAAATATTTTTATTATTATTTTCTATATAATTTCATTTTATTATTTTAATTTTTTGACTTTTTTATTTTAATGACTTTTAATCTTTTGATTTCTTATTATTTTATTACTGTTGGGATGAGATAGGCTGGGATGGGATGGCATGCGATGGGATGGATTGGGATATGGATGGGATGGGGATGGGACTGCGGTGGATGGGATGGGTATGGGATGGCATGGGAATTGGATGGATAAATGAATGCACTGGATAGAATGCGATGGATGGATAAGATAGTTTGATTTTTTTTGAGTATTTCCTTTTAACAAGCGGTTGCCAAACTGGTACGCCACTGATTTTCCCGAGCAAACGCCGCGCGTATCCGCTAGTTACAGAATAGAAGGTCGGAAGTCGAACGGTAAGCCTCCTCCTCCTCCGCCATCATACCTCCGTCTGATCTTATTCACGTCGATACGTACCACCGGTTGACAGACAGGTACGACGGAACTGTCCAGTGGAATAAAGTTGACTCACAGGCTCTCGACCACGTTTAGGTCCGCTTCGGCGGCACTTTTCGTCGACGTCACCACGACGGCCATGTCGATGTAACCGCACGCGGCCATGTCGTCTGCGTCACCGCGTAACGTCGTCGAGCCGTCTCAATCTTGAAAGTGTCGACTCGAACGAGTCGTCGGCCCGAGGATCGTTGTCGGCAAACGAGATTGTCGGCGAACGAGTTCTTGCTCGAGCACCGCCATCTCGCGGGGAGGTGCCCGCGCATGGGGTAGATTACGTTGATATGACCGGATCTGCGCTGTACAGTACTCGCAGCCACGTCCGGCTCGTGGCGCCTTCGCGCTTCTGTATCCGCGGAAGAGGTCGGTGCAGAGAGCATTGTCGTCACTCGCTCGAGCCGGAGCCGGAGCTGTGCGACGGGGCCGAGTCGGCGGACACGTGACGGGAGGGCAGTCGCCTGTCCGCGCGTCGGCGTCGGAACGACCGGCACCGCCTCGGTTGCCCGCTGCCGCCAGTGGCGACACAGCGGCGCCGCATCGTGCGCTGGATGTCGGCGGGTTTGTTGAAACCGTAGAAGCAAGCGTTGAGGAAAGCAAGTTGGCGTGGGTTAGAGTGCATGGCAGAGCGGACGCGGTCCGAGGTCTCGGCAGGCCAGGGGAATACGCCCACTGTTAGCACGGCGTCGCCACGATTGAGCGTCGAACAAGCGGCACGGTAGCAGACGACCAAGCAGGTGGACGACCGTGCAGCAGTATACGCGCGCCTTAAGCTTGGTGACAGCGAGGATCGTTCGGGGGGGCTTTTGCCTTCTTCGTTTCACCGTCACGCGCAATGTCTATCGGGCGCTGCTGCCTACACCTGGCCTCCGAATCTTGACTGGACGTCGGGGAGCGCAAGCCGACAGCCGCGGCCTCCCGCGAGTTGCACAATCGTCGGCGAATCCTCTTCGGAACGTTGAGATTGATTGCGGCTTGAACGCGGCGGTTGGTCGGCCGCTTGGCCGTCTGGTGCGTTGGCCGCACCGGTCAGCGCAGCGGGTTACGTGTTGGGTTGCGCGACGAGCCGCCGCACGACGAGTTAATATCAACTATGAGCAGCAGCCGAGCGGCGTAGCATCACGACACCAGCACAAGATGAGGATGTTGAAAGGCGAGACTTTCGGAGCTGCTCGCGTCTGCCACGTCCATGAAGCACATCGCGCGGACCGGATAGAACACGCCAATTGCTCGAGCACGCGAGCCTGCACGAATCGCCGAGCCCGCCGCCGCACACCGACCAATCTGCACACGACCGGCGAATGACGCCAACGTCGGTCTTCCAGGTGCCGAAGCCGGAGTTTTTTACTAGAAGTCGCGTGCCCGAGGGAGCGTCACTTGGCTTAACTGGGGCCGCAATCTGCCTTACAGAGAATAAAAATGAACATACGCTCGTACGTGCATACATGACGTTTGGATGAGTCTTCAGCGCGACGGCACTGACATAACTTTCGACTCTGTGCCAAGAAGCATGCTCGGCACTTTGTGGCTTTATCACAAGCTACAGACAAGAATGTGTCCGGTGTGGCGTCAGGTAGCAAGCGCTAGCTACGAAGGCCGCCGCAACCAATTCGCTCCGAAAAATCGCAAAAAGGTGGTGAAGCTACAGGAGCGGGATCGTTTTGTGTAAGGCCGGGGCCATGCGCCAGACCGAACGGCCGTTGCCTGGCGGCTGCGAAGCTTGGAGCCGCGGCGAGATCAGTACTTCAGAGACACGTTGCCGATGGCAGCCAGCTCGAGGCTTGGGTAGGGAACAACCTGGCGGCACCTTGGGCGCTTCACTCATGTCCGATGAATGAAGAGGATTCGGAGGAAGAGGGGGCGATTTCTTGAGGCGCTCGGTGTGATCGCCCAGACGACCGGCGTTTATTACAGGCACGCTCGCTTGCAAGCACAGACCGTCACGGTTTAAGCCTCAGCGACAATCTGCTTCTGCCGTCAGCATAACAACGTACGCTCGGTGCGGCATGCGCCGATCGCTGCTGCGGCGCAGCCGTGGGCATCGATCGGACGATTATTGATGCAGTTGGGGTCCCCGTTTCGTCGGCGACCCGTCTGGTCGCGTCGATGCCTTTCGATTCAGTTAGTTCTTTTATACTTCCGTTTATCCCTCCGTTGTTTGCCTTAATGTTCTTTGCTGCAGCGCACGGGCGGGTTAAAGTGAGGTGGCAGACGAAGTGAAAATCCCCAACTCTCTTACCGTGCACCCTCTACCTACCACAGTCACGACAGCCATATTTCTGACTGACTGTAATCACTGACTCATGTCGTTTGGCCCCCTCTTAACCCTATGGCTGAAGATCTTTTTGCCTTCTCTTGATACAGGGCTGCGTCCAGCAGTGCCTGCACACTGTTGACTGCCAAAAGTCTCGTTTGGCGAATTCGCCTTCGGCGTGCCTCTTTGGCCTCCACCAGAACTTGGACATGGACCTCCTCGAAGTCGATGGTCCTGGTTCGGATCTCGAGGCCAGGATCGAGTTGAACATCTCGCTCGTCCAGCCAAGGGGGGCCCCTACGCTTAACACATCCCGAGGAACCTCATTGCGTGTCAATTCACTCCATATCTAGGCCCAGTCTCTGGCACCTTCGTCACGTGCAAACTTTGCAGACACTCGCCTTGTCACAGTAATAGACTCGCCGATAGTCGCGTCGTACTGGCTCGTCNTGCAGTGAGATCTGCTTTGCCTTCTTCGTCACCGTCACGGCGAAGTTGTTCGGCGCGCTGCGACACTTGGCCGCCGACATCTTGGACGTCGCGCGCGCGAGCGGTAGCGCAGCCGCGACCCCCCGCGATGCACTATCGTCGGCGAATCCTTCTTCGGAACGTTGAGATTGTTGCGGATGACGTGGCGGTTGTCGGCCGCTTGGCCGTCGGTGCTGTAGGCCGCCGACAAGCGCAGCGAGTTCGTGTGGTGGCGACGAGCGGCCCTCACGACAAGAATATCAGCTATGAGCAGCAGCCCGAGCGGTAGCAGCACGCACAGCACAAGATGAGCGATGTTGAAGGCGAGCTTCGGAGCTGCTCACGTCTGCCAGTCCATGAAGCACATCGCGCGGCCCGGATAGAACGCCCAGTTGTCGAGCACGACGACCTGCACGATCGCGAGCGCCGCCGACACCGACCAAATGCCAACGACGGCGATGACGCAACGTCGTTTCGTCACGAGCAGTTTGTACTGGTGCGGACGCACGATCGAGAAATAGCGCTCGACGCTGACAGCGAGGATGCATAACACGGATGCCGTTATCAGGAGCGTGTTGAGCGCTGCCGACGCCGCACACGCCGACGCACTGAACGGCCAGCGACCGACGGCCGTTGCCGCCTGCACGAGCGGCAGACAGATGACGGCCGTCGCCAGATCGGTGACGGCGACGTGTCCGATGATGAAGAGATTCGGACGGAAGAGGGGGCGTTTCTTGAGCGTGGTGTTGATCGCCCAGACGACGGCGATATTACAGAGCACGCTCGCTGCAAGCACGACCGTCAGGTAAGCCTCAGCGACAATCTGTTCTGCGTCGCCAAACACGACGCTCGGTGCGCATGCGCCGATCGTGCTGCGGCCGCCGCCGTGGGCATCGTCGGACGACGTGCAGTTGGGCGTCGTCGGCGACCCGTCGGTCGCGTTCATGCTTCGATCAGTTAGTTCTTTTAGACTTCCGTTATCCCTCGTTGTTCGCTAATGTTCTTGCTGCAGCCGCACGCGGGTAAATGTGAAGGTGGACGAAGTGAATCACGGCTTTCTATCGCACCTGCGCACGCAAAATATCTTCCGAACGAACCGCTGTTACTTTCCGAACGAACCGATACCGTCTGCTACATCCGAATCAGGACCGACGATGTTACTTTCCGAACGAACCGGTACCGTCCGCTACATCCGAATCCAGACCGACAGAACCGTCTGATACCGGACCGACGACGTTACTCTCAAGGCAACAGCAACGAGTACATAGGAGACGGCAAGACTTCAGTTCGGTTGCTGTACGATCTCGATGCAAGCACTGATCGCGAAGACGTGCGCGCAGTACGACGCACAGGTGGGTAACTACGCAGTTAACTAACTCCCCTCACTGAGATGACCTCCTGGCGGTACGTGCGTGCAGGTGGCTCGGCGCGTGCGTGCACCATACGCATGAGAGACGCTCACGTCACCAGTAG